TTCGGAAGTCGTCCCACGACAGCAAGAACGCTTCGTGGTTGTTAAACTACGTACGTGCCGAATCTTACTGGGCCATGTAAACGTAACCAAGTTTCCGGGCTTCGTCCTGATCATTCAAACGTGCAACGCGCTGAAAGCCTTCAAGCCAGTCCTTGGCTTCTTCAAAGGTGTCACCATGGAAGACCTCTGGTGTATGTGGTGAATTCACGATGAGGTGAGGTGGAGATGGTATTGACTGGGTGGCCATCGCAGTGACGCTTGTGTCTGAGGTCCCGACAGGTCTTGATAGATCAATTACGGGGCTGAACTCGGGCTGTTCACCAAGTAGTCGGCGACAAGTGCGTTGGTGCACAGGTGTTAATTATGCTGGCTCCAATTTTCTGGGATCTGGGCTTCTCTCCCTTGCCTGTAGTGAACTTTGAATCATACCCAACACATCCACCAGAATGTTACCACTAAATGTTGCACCTGGTACAATACAACCATTTATTTAGAGCGAACCTGTACCCGTAAACTCCAAACTAAATGGTCAGCCGAAATATCCCTTGCTTCCTGTCTCCAACTTCATTGGTCTGTTCTTCTCCACCTCGAGACTCGTGCCGGCCCTGGGGCGTAGCATCGTGGCGCGTGCAGGGCGGCGTTCCATGGCGCGGCATTTTTGCTACTTCTATGGCGGTTTTTACGAACGCAAATTGTTGCACGCGTCTTCTGCGATTGTGGAACTGTAGCAATATATTGCAAGAAAGCCAGCTTCCCACTAGTGGTGCTAAGCCAGAAGGAAAGGCGGAGTAAGGCAGCCTTCCTTACTTCTTTACTTGTCTATTGTTTTCTTTCTTCTTTTCTCATTTCTACGTTGTTTTTTTCTCGTTTATTCATTTCTGTATGTTTCTAAATCGCTCTAATTTTTATTTCTGTGTTTGCCTTTTTTCTCTATTTTATAATGTGTCTTTGTGTCTTTGCTTGCATTTTATTATGCCATGTTGCCTATGCTACACCAAGCGCACCAGTTGTTTTTTTGCTGATGGTGATAATTGGAATAACTGTGTCACTATATTTAAATATAATGTTTACCATTATAGACGTAAGTATTTATTACCGCTTTGACGTTATTGACATGTGACATAATTTGTGTGAGTGAGTGAGCGACTGAGTGGGTGAAAGAATCTTATTGAATGACCAGTGAGTACGTGAAATTGTCGCTCAGAGGGCTAATCATTTGTTGAAATCGGCAGGTCCCACTCAACGGCCTGGTCACGCGTACACTAAACAGCAGTGTTGCGGAGTTGTCATTCCGGAATTGGAATTACTCTGAATTCATTCTATATTTCACGACCATGAAATGGAAGGAGAATAGAATGGGGACAATGCTTACAGGGAGGTTCATTGGTTGATGCGTGGAATTCAACGTCCCAAACCCACCATATGATTATGAGAGACGCCGTAGTGGAGGGCTCCAAAAATTTTGACCACTTGGGGTTCTAGCACCCAATTTGGGCACCCAAATATGAGCACACAGGCCTACAGCACTTTCGCCTTCATAGAAAATGCAGCCGCCGTAGCCGGGATTCGATCCCGCGACCTGCGGGTGAGCAGCCGAGTATCTTAACCACAAGACTACCATGGCGGTTTGCTTAGAGGATTGTTTTGGGAGTGAAATCAGGCGCGCTTTTCTCGGAATGAAAAGAAAATGAAATTGTGTCTTTTTCCGAAAACAGAGCAAGCTTTCGTCTACCCACTGTTTTTAAAACTTCAAGCTTCAAACATTATTAAATGAGGGTCTCCAAATGAACAATAAAGCAATGTTTTTTTAAATCGCTTGACTCATTGCAAGCGTAATTATTTATAAGCAAAGCGCCTATACTACAATTTTCTCTTTACACAGACAGTGTTGGTCGAAAGTGTGTCTTCACGTAAACACGGCTCTATGTCGTTGGTATCCAACATGCGGAACTATGGATTATAACACTTGTACACCTAAGTAACGTTCAAACACTACCAATTGTTCAAACATGCCAACCATGCAATCGCAATAGATAGCAGAAGAAGTGTCCCAACGTGAATCAGTAAAGTGGTTGTAGTGCATTGGTTATATCATTAGGCGACTATCCCGCGACTTTGGTAGCATGGTTTGCGTACTTTTGCAGTTCCTAATAGGTTGAAAAGCATCTGTTTTAGGGGCATTCATTTCTCACTTTACAGAACTATCAAGATGCGTTTTCACATTGAGGAAATACGGGAATGAAATTGAACTGCTGGGCCAATCCTGGAGTGGCGACGGGCTTAGTTTTGTTTGATTCCGAGGAATTTAAAGCCATTCAATTGCAGCAAGTTACTATTCCCCGGCATGGAACCGGAATAGAATGGAGGTGCCCATTCCAAAACACTGCTGGACAGCCAGGATTCACTTCTCTATAAAGCTGGGCTACGCTGAAGCCCGTTTCTCTGCTCATTCGTAATGTAGCTTATGGCGCGAACAAAACAAAACAAAACACGAGAGAAGGACAAGCGCAACAAGCTCTCGTGTTGTTGTTCTTTTGTTTTTTTGTGCTATAAGCTACGTTTAGGAGGTACTAACAAACAGACCTTGACCTCGCGTTTTTCTGCTCCAATGCGTTGCTGGGGGCCTGTTAGTCATGACACTACACAACGATTGCTGCAGCACGCGACAGATAATTAATTACAGGCCCCTCATTATCAGCCAGTTTTAGCTTCGGTTTGAGAGAGTTCCAAAAAGTAGGTGCAACTGTCACCACCTAGGGTGTGCAGGTCTTGACCACGTCAGCACACTAAACTGTGACGCACTTCCGCACGGTTCGCATAAAGAATTACTTTCGAATAGAAAAGAGCACTGAAATGTCACCAAACAAATAACTTTTTAAGCGTGTGCTATAGTCACGCACTCGCAACCAGCCGCCGAGAAATATAAAGTGTGGGAACTAACGCGGCAAAAAATATGGCGGCTATGACGTCAATACAACTTGTTTTGTTGACTGTAGCACGGTGACGTGAATAAGTAGGGGGTCACCTCAGCGTCCCCTCCGATGGTGTCTATAGAGCGCTATATGGACTCCGTTGCTCACAAAAATTTTAAAATGAATTTAAAATACCTTCCAAGCTATATTCGCTGTTGATATCCTTCAGATGATATACGAATGCTGAGGAGAATCGACCCCGCAGGCTATCTCGGCCCCAAAATTTTGTGTCAGTACTCCTTTAAGAATGAACCAACCCGCTTAACAAGTCACTCCCTCTGCTCTTTGTTATGCCTGCCATTCACCGGGCACACATCTAGTGTGGCACACATGCTTTTGGGAGTTGAGATGCCGTGTGAACTTTGCCCCATATTCTTTGACCAGTGGAGAACACAAAAACAGCACTGATGTTCGTCTATGGCTGAAGCTAACATGGAAATTAGTGTATCGTCATGCCAGAGTTGAGGATATTGATGATTTCTCAAACATGAATCATATCCATTGAGAGAGATTGGCCAATAAATCATTATTTATTGTAATGATACTTTTTCAGTATTCAATATCTACTCCCAGAAGGAAACATTGTTTGTAAACTGGAAGGAGTGCAACAATAATTTTTTACACGTTCAAATCAGCGGGTGTAGTCGTGTATCTTTTACTATCGTGATTTAAAATTACTTTTGTTAAATTATTGCTTCAAAAATAATACTCACACAACTTGGAATTTAATTCGTTTAGTTTCAAAAAGGACATCAACAGCGTTCGAGTGACCTTGTGGCTGAAGCCAAGATCCGCAGCTCCGAAAAAAATTTTTTTTCATTTCTGAAGTGTTGCCCCACGTTAGCGAGTGGGATACCAAAGAGTCTTTTTTTAGTAACCTGAATTGGCAACACGACAAAAAGAAATAGTGCTGTATTGTTTCTAGTTCGGAACGAAAATTGCATAGAAGTGATATCGCCAGACCAAGGGTTGGCCTGGTTCGCTTCGTGTGTTTTTCTTGCTAGAATTTGTTTATATCACTCATTTTGCCTCGTTTTAATTCTGGTAGGTAGTTTTATGAAGATGCAGAACCACTAATACCGGGAAAGGCATCGATTTCAGCAAGTTGTCTAATGAAGACAGTCAGCTTTGTTTTTCATATGCATGCATATTTGTTTTCTTTTGGTCTCTGATTGCATAGTGATGTTTCTTACCAATGTCCGTATTGTAAACTGATGCATATTCGCATCGAGCATGTTTGAATACTTATGCTTTCTCTCACTCTGTCGATATCTGCGGCAAAGTGATTGTTTTTTTTGCATGATCCCCGAGCTCCTCGGTGCTCTGAGCTTGCCCGCAGTAAGATGTAATAAATTAAAATAAACCTGGGAATGTTTACATGAGCTTGTCAAAAGCAAGCAGTGATATTCAGGGTCGTTACTTGACTGTGCGTTGTTAGCGACAGTGTTGCGAACCACTTTCGAGAAAGTACGCTACGTCATGGTCGAAATTACCCTATATTATCTTAGACAACTTTTTGAGGCCTTACATTATGCTTTACGCCCCTAAATATTGAAGTATACTAAAAATAACCATAAGGTTATACTTCAAGTGACGACCTGCACACATATGGCAGCGCTGAACTAAGAAAAACCATCTTGGCCCCACATTTATAGACATGTTTGTATGTGACTACTTACTTGTGTTTACGTGTGTGCTCTTAGTTTTTTCGTCTTTTTCCGCCTACTTTCCTTTCATGTGGTTTTTTTTCCAAAAGAAACGCACAGGCGTTGTGGCCCTCTAGGTGGCAGCGGTCAGCCTGTTTTCCTCCCAAATTTATCTGTGTCGTCGTGTTTATTGACTACACATATACATTGGTAGTAATGCTAATACTAGTAAAATTAACATCTATGGTAGTATTCTTATAAAATATTAAGAATAATGATGATACTTTTAATGGTACTATAATGTGATTTTTGTACTGCCGTCTACCTTAAAGGTTCTTCTAGTACTTTCTATGCAAAAAAAGTGTTTGTGAAAGTTGCTTACGGCTGTCGTCAGAGCAGCGAAGTAGGCGTTGTAGCTTCCGTTCAATATGAAGAGGGAGCGATTCACAAATGCTTGATCATAAACAAAGTATAATCCTAGCCTAATGGCTTCATCTGAAACAACAAAATATTCGGAACGCTTCAACGTTCGCTCTTACCAATCATTCGTTTGAGAATTCTCAGTTGTCAATTATTCGATTTAGAACCGAGTAAATTATGTGTGAAGAATCCACATCCACCATGTTTTGTTTAGTGGTGTTTTATAAAAAGAGTGAAGGTGAAGATATGGCGGCTGTAATCAAACTTCAGGACGTTCAACGGGGTGTCCCAATAAAGAATATTAATCAAAGCGACTTTATGAGCAGCACCACAAAGGACACGCTGTCGCCATGGATAGACTGATATTATACTGCTGTAACAAAGTTACTACTAACAACCTATCACCCTTAGGTTGTGAGAGCTGACTTCACATTTAGCGCGTATACCTCACAATTTCTCTGCACTACCTCCATCTGCCGCTCTCCCCTGACCTCTCTTCCTTGCTACCCGTTTCGGCACTCCTATGCTAAAACAATTGTGGACCATGTACAGTAAATTATCAGATAAGCTCCTTTTCAACCTCTAATGTTTGCGTAAATACCAGCTACCTTCCATGATTTGGTAATGGCTGTGGGTTCTCGCCAATTTTCACCCTTTTTACAGCGAAAGCGACCATAAGATTGCAAAAAGGGCCGCATGGGCCGTAGTTGTTTGTCGCCGCCGCTGCCGCTGTCAGTAACCGCTATCGTGGGAAATGTGAATGGGAAGACGATGTAATTCAAACTTTGCTTCCCCGCGTGCCAAGCCAACCCTTTACCACTGAGCCACACCGGTGCTTGAAACACTGTGCCCAATTGGCCTTATCGTTCACCATTGCGTTCTTGAAACGTGGCGTTATTGAAACGTGGCGCTGTGCGCAGCGCTGCAAACTCTGCTGCCATTGATGTCGCATGAGCTGTCGAGAATAGGATGGTTGTAGTGAACGTTGAAATCACAATTGCCGATGTGGAGTAGTTCATCAGGACGGAGTCATCGGCTTAGACGTGGGTACAATCCTGGCACTTCTCGAACAACAGGAGAGAGAATAAGGAGAAAGACAGGGAGGTTAACCAGGGCTGAGCCCCGGTGGCTGCCCTGCACTTGGAAAGGGGAGGGGGGGAAGAAAAGTTATACAGGAGAAGAGAGAAAAGGCACTGGCCGGGTCAACGTGCAACAGCTCCACGTGGCACATCACTAACGAGGAAACCGGACGGTGTCTTTGAGGAAACGCAACAGCGCTTTCGTTGCCTTTCGGAACTGGTATGGGCAGTGCCATGGTCCCAATATCTTCTCCACAGTGAAATTATTTTTGTCCAGTTGATTTAGAACACTGCTCAGGTGAAGCCTCTCGTTTGTGTATGCCGGGCAGTGACACCAGAGGTGTTGAATAGCGTCATCCACAGCGCAGTCGTTGCACTCCTCACTGTCTGCTATCCCAATCTTAAATGAGTAGGCATTGGTGAAGGCTACGCCTGAGGCGCAGACGGCACAACACTGTACCTTCCTCTCTGAAAAGACCAGAGGGTAGCAGAACTCATAGAGATAAATCGAGAGAATACTGATGTGTGAACTGTGATGACTGCCGCTTCTGGAATGTCATGTTCGCCACCAGCTTACTCAATTGTCTATACGCGTCAATCCTATATAAATGTATGAAAACGGTGTTTGTTTTTACGAGTGCATTTCTGGCTGCTTTATCGGCGAGGTCGTTGCCGAAGATACCGCAATAGCTTGGTAACCACTAGAACACAACGTTGTGTCTTTTTTTGGTCACATAGTGCAGCATTTTTCTGACATTTCACACAAGTTGTTCCTACGACCCGCAACGAAGTGCCGACGAAAGGCATTGTAGAGCGGAGTTGCAGAATACTGCCCTTGGATTGGCCGGTTGTTGCTTCGTCACACAATAAAACTAATTCGAAATTTTATAGGAACTAGCGTTGACAAATGTTGATTTTTTTTCTGAATGCCTGCAATTTTGCGGTTGAACCGAAAAGGCTAATGTTGACAAATCTTGATTTTTTTTTGTGGATGCCTTGAATTGTCAAACTGAACCGAAAGTCTCGCCGCAGACGTGCACGAACGCAGTTGGTAGAAAGTCACCATGTGCAGTTATTGTTCGACAAAAACAAGAGTGAGGCCTGTCCGCCGCTAAAGAGGCTAGATGGTGGCGGGGACCCCGAGCAACAAACCTTATGTGTGTTACCGAAGCTTCAATTTTAGGATGGGTCTTCACATCTGAGGCTTCGGTAGACAAGACACGCAAATCAACAAACATTCTTGTGATTTCAATAAACGTTTCCATTCATGCCTACTCACTTCTAAATCATCTTAGTTAGGGCATCTTGTGATTTGGAATAGTGAGATTGTGTCTGCTTGCATTGCGTCTTTCAAAATCGACACTCAACATTTTTTTGCTGCTGTCGAAAACAAACGCAGCTCTAAACATATCTTGTTTGCATATTTTTGAAAGTACTAACATAAACGCTTTACGCGCTGCTGCGTACGCAGAAAGCAAAATACGTACTTTCTTCGGGTTTTTCGAATAGTAGAACTTGTGAGAAGACCAGTGACCCAAAAAAGTGAGTAAGTACGAACATTATTTAACACAAAAAAAAACAGCACACATGAAATAAATTTTGCCTTGTTTGGGATTTCAAGACGAGCCGGTGGTCTTTACAGAGTGACCACTCTGCCAATATAACTAGCTTGCAAGCCATCATATTCCAGTGTGAAGAGTTCACGTAGAACTGACAAAAAAAACAGCGCAAAAATGAGATGAAGAAAGAATGAGCACACAACACAAGCGCAGCACAAGTCATGATTAGAACACTATTTCGTTGTCGAAAACACTATCGTTGCGTCTACAAATTTTTCCGGACCAAGCTTCAAATACGGTACGCCTAAATTAACTCTCTTTGGCGGTGCGTTTTAGCCTTACCTAAAATAGACATATTCTCAACAATGGTGGGCAACTGCACTGCTTGCTATGTGGGATTTTGTTATCAACAGTGTCAGAGGGTAGAATTGTTGCATGCTCACTCAAAGAAACGTTAAAAAACTCACCAGATCTTCCTATATATAGCTTATCACAACCCACGTGGAGTGCTATGCACCGCTCATGTGTCACATGCACACTATTTTTTACGTGTTTTATGTCACATGTTCTGCTTTGTGTGGTGAGCTGCTCACACTCCTACAAAGACTTGCGTGCTTTCTAGGTGCAAAACAAACCAATTTACTATTGTTTCTGGCAGCTACCTTTTTTCAATGTATATAAGCCATGTACCGTGTACGTATGGTATAGCCAAAGTGCTTTTTTTTCTTTTGGTCTCGAGCATGAAAATCACTTCTATGTTTCAATTTGGGAAGGATTCAGCCGCAGTGGTTATCAGTCTTATGAAAACCTGCCGCCAAAAGCTTATTTTGATGCTAAACAACGCTATCTTACGATTGATGGGGGCAGCTTTTAGCCACGGCAATTGGCAAACATAACTTGGCTATAGGCATTCCAACTAGTTTTGAGTCGGAGCAATTTGAGCACTAAATCACATATTTTTTTTTGTCAACTATACAATCAGCACAAGTTACCATGTAGATGAAAAGGGAGAGTTATGTTTAAAAGCTTACTGAAATCTTATTGAGGTGCATTACAGGTGATACGAAAATGTGGGCAGCATGATTCAAACAATTATATCATGCTACCAGTTATGAATTGCTACCAATTCAAAGACCAAGAGAATCAGCAACATCGAATAAAGCATAGACAACTCAGTCATTATGAAGGCTTTCGCATAAGTGTTTGTCTAAATTAGCTAAAAGTATACTGTAGAGTACCGATGCAACACTTGAACCTGTACGAACACCATTTTTCTCTAAAAACAACTTGCCTCGAAAGGTGACAAAAGTGGCCGAATGGTAATAAAAAAGAACTTCCTCGGTGAACTTTGCAGATCTGTTTTGTTTTGTCTCCTTTAAAGAGCTGTTTGCAGTAGTGCGAGAGGACATTGTATACCTGATCAAGAGACTTGTTTTAAAAAAGCATGCGGCCTTTCCACTGCCAACTTCATTGAACCTTTATTCTCAGCTTTCGGCAACCTGCGTCACTTTTGAAGGCGAGTTGTGTTTATAGTAAAATCAAGTTTTGCACGGGGGCTTTGTACTATATCTTTACCTCATTTCAAGTTTCAAGTTTATTTCAGTTATCATACAGAAAAGAGAACATGGTAGAAAGTAGATATACTGGAGGGGATCTGAATGCACAAGGCTTCAGGGGGACCCTCTTTAAAATTGGATAATAAGAATTACTCAATTAACAGTAAAAGTGAAAACAGAAAGATGCGTAAAGTGATAAAACCAGCATTAAAAAACAAGTAAAGAAAAGATTGGCACAAACAATTTAACATCAATAAAATATCTGGTAGTTATTGAAATACGAATACAATTATTTTCAAATAAACTATTCCGTGAGCATTGTTTGATGTGAGATGGCTATGAATTTCATAATCATATTGCTAAGAAATATGCAGTGTGGTGACCTGAATTAGTATGGATAGTAGGCAGTAAAACATTTTCGCTTCAAGCAAATCTAGTACAGTTAAATTTAGACGGAGCATTAAAATAAAAGACACTTGATGATACAGCATGGTTCCGGGGCTCGAAAAGCATGATAATGAAATGAGTAATGATGACGCACTGCAACAGTATGAACTGAAAGTTTAGTCTCATGGCTGGTTTTGAATGTGGACTGAAGAAAAAATAATAATAATAATAATAATAATAATAATAATAATAATAATAATAATAATAATGGTAATAATAATAATAATATTGTTTATTTTTAACACGTCGCATATTCTCAAATTGTTACATGCCCAGAATGATATGGCTAAAGGCAGATTAACTGCCTGACAATGGCCCTACCACCGAAGCACTGTTCAGCATGGTTTTGAGCATATATAAATTATACGTTTCAACAGAAAGCGGAAGTACTAAGAGAAAAAAAACATGAAACAATGCTGTCAGGAACAGTTCAT